AACACTGGGTATGTTTTTGTTGTTGTAACGTTAACAATTACTTTTTTGTGTGTTTTTGTTTTTGTTTTAATAAAATCTTTCTATCCAGTCTATGTTAATTTCTAGTAGGCGCCGGTATGCGACTTTTGTTGGATGCCTTCAAAAAATCCGAACATCCATGTCATCGCTTTTATCCACAATCTCGTGCAGGTTATTTCTAATTTTCTTTGCAGAATACATTCATACAATATCTTTCAAGTGTGTACATATGTGTATTGCATAATATGGAACATGTAAAACATGTACAGCAAAACTCAACTTGCTTCTATTAAAAACGGCGATACAATGACACTTTAAATGATAAATCTAATGTCTAAAAGGTGCACTTTGAGGAGAACTTTCCGGAGAAGAAGTATATAGGCACGGCTTGTTGTCTTATCCTTTTGTTAATTCAATAAATTTGTTGAAACCGAAACTTTGAAAAGTGCAAAAACACACCCATTTTTTGGGATATTCAAATGACTGAGGAATTGATCATTTTTTAAAAACTTTCTGCAAACAATAGACATAAAGTGCTTGAGTCTATTTTCAGATGCAAGGTAACTTTTAGAACTGATAATGACTTGTTAAACTCTATTTAAAAATAACCCAGTTACACTGGATCCATCTGAGATTGAAACGTAGGAAGAATACATTCTTAAGGTTCCGAGATAATAGCACTAAAAATCGAACATCTGGAGTAATCACCTAATAACATTGCCAAAATATCACAGTTTCTTTTTAAATATCTAAAGTACAATTATCCAATTCTATCCCCGTTTGATCATTATACAGTTCCAGCATATAATTTTGAACAGACCGATTGGTTTTACTTCTTTGGATACAAATCAAAACAGAACACAGTTCACCAATTTCAATATTTATTACATAAATACACATTTAAAGACAAATACAACATAAATATCGCATATTTCATTATATTGATAATAAATAATAAATAATGGTCAGTCACCTACAGTCGTGTACGCGCTACACTCCATCTTGTGCAGAAAATGTTCGAAAACAAGATAGATTTTGGAGGTATCGCGAAGAGGCTAACACTTATATGCACAGTTCAGACAGTGTTGCTGAATGGCATATACATATACTTTACACACATGTATATATATCACAGAGTCCCTAAGACGACTGTTTGCTTGTTTCAAAAGTCGGTTGTGTTTGGTTTGTCTTGTTTCCTCTGTACTGAGATACTTTGGCCTTTTCATCGTCCTTTCGAGAAATCTTTCACATCAAATCAGATCTGGTCATTTTTTTCTTCAGAAGAAACATCGTCGTTGTTATCATTAGTATAGTGTCCGTTTTCCTGTTCGTTCGTTCGTAAAACAGGTTCTACTTTTCGTGATTTATGTCCTGAAAATATGAAAATATACCTTATCAAACTATTAACAAGTAAATGTATCATACGTATTGTCCTGTTTAATATGGGGCTATACGACTTCCCGTTCTACTCGACTTCCTAGACTGTGTCTCTAAGTTAGATTGTGACGTCATTATAAAAGCCAATGCTTGACGTTAACCAGGGAGGTTATAGTCTGGACAGGTAAGTATTTAATGGACGGACTTTATCTTAAATTTTACTATATATCACCCCGTAAAATACAAGTACCTGGATTCTTTCTGTTATACGGGTGTCAAATACAAATAGGAACATATTAAGTTTAATGCTTTTTGTATGCTCTGATATTGTGAAATGGTTTAGACCACACACTCAACAATAAATTAAAGAAATGTTGTTTAAGATACATGAATGAATAAATAAATAAAAAGGAATTTTGGTATTTTGTATAAGTATAAAGAAAAATATCTCATTTCAGATAAAATCATTACGGGACTTGCTCTTAATAAAGAAATACAAAAAGAAACTAGGAAAACAGTAAACGTTCAACAGAAAAGTCCTACCTTTTTTAGAAGACTTTTGTTGAGATGAAATGGCAAATTTCCCGTCTCTTTGCTGGTTGACAACTTCATCTTTGGGACGAGAGGAAGGTTTGGTTCCCGAAGTCTTATGGATGTGGGAAGTGCCTGTTCTGCTAATTTGTTTAATTGGTGTCACATGTACAGGCGGGACATTGAATTCTCTCGGAACAGACCCAGGAATTATATGTGTTGCATGCTGGTTGTCCGGAATGTGACGTTGTGAAGGCAAGTACCCGTGTCGGTTAGATAATACAGTGCCATTGTTGGCATACCCGGTAAGACGTCCAGCCGTGCTTGCTTTATACAATTTTTCACGATCGGTTGTGGTTGCTAATTGGGCACCGACTAGTTTGGAAATCGATTGTAGGATCCTCGTGTCTGATTCAGCGGTCGAACCTGAACTTAACGTTTCCTCTGGCGATAGGACAACTACAAGATGACTGTCAGATGTACTAGGTTCTTGGTTATTTGTTCTCGTTTTGTTGACCATACTCGGTATATAGCTATGTCCTCGTAGTCTGTCAAAAACACTACGAACGTTGTTAACTATTCTCCTTTGTTGACCATACCTTGCACGTGGTGAATTGCCATATCGTTGATTACCATACTTGGTACGTGGTGAAATGCCAAATCTTTGTTGACCGTATTTAGTACGTTGTGATTTGTTCCTCACTTTCCCTACCGTTCTTCCTATTTGACGACCTCGCCATATCTTGTCAGCTCTACTTTGTGCTTGGTGATTTCTTCTCAGTTTGTCGACTAAACTTGATACAGTAAGTACGCTATGATCACTTCTAACTTTATAACTTTTACTTGGTGCCTGGTTGTATGTTCTTCTGTGTTGACTGTTCTCCGTAGGCGATGATGTGTGAGAACGGTGTCGATCATACCTGGTATGAGTCATGTGGTCATTTGTCCAAATTCTGTCACCACTACTTGTTACTTGGTGTTTTGTTGTCATTTTGTTGTCAGCTTTATGTGGTACAGTCTGAACGTTCCGATGACCAGTTCTCACTTTAGCAAATGTACTTTCCTCTGGAGCTAATAAAACCACGAGATGTCTATCAGCAGTACTAGTTACGCGTTGGTTTGTTCTCTCGTTGTCAACCGTACTTGGTTCTTGGAGAAGTGAACTCTTAATGTTTTCTAAAGCACTAAGTACGTGGTGTATTAATTTTCTATTGTCGACCACGCTTGGTACGCGGTGATGTTTCGTTTCGCTCCCGGCTTTACCTGATACGTTATAGTAAGTTGTCATTTTGTCGACAGTACTTGGTACGTGGTGATTTTTACTCACTCTGTTCGCTGTACTTGGTACGTTGTGATTTGTACTCACTTTGTTCGCTGTACTTGATACGTGGTGATTTGAACTCACCCTGTTCGCTGTACTTGGTACGTGGTGATTTGTAATCAACCTGTTCGCTGTACTTGGTACGTGGTGATTTGTCCTCACTTTGGCGGCTGTACTTGGTATGTGGTGATTTGTACTCACTCTTTTCGCTGTACTTGGTACGTGGTGATTTTTACTCACTCTGTTCGCTGTACTTGGTACATGGTGATTTGTACTCACTCTGTTCGCTGTACTTGGTACGTTGTGATTTGTTTTCACTTTTTTCGCTGTCCTTGGTACGTTGTGATTTGTTTTCACTCTGTTCGCGGTACTTTGTACGTGATAATTTTTACTCACTCTGTTCGCGGTACTTGTTACGTGGTGATTTGTACTCGCTCTGTTCGCGGTACTTGGTACGTGATGATTTGTACTCACTTTGTTCGCGGTACTTTTAACGTGGTGATTTGTAATCAACCTGTTTGATGTACTTGGTACGTGGTGATTTGTTTTCAGTTTGTCGCCCGTATTTAGTATGTAATGATTGGTTCTCGCTTTGTCGGCTGATTTTTGTACTTGGTGATTTGTCCTCACTTTGGCGGCTGTACTTGGTACGTGGTGATTTGTACTCACTCTTTTCACTGTACTTGGTACGTGGTGATTTTTACTCACTCTGTTCGCTGTACTTGGTACATGGTGATTTGTACTCACTCTGTTCGCTGTACTTGATACGTGATGAGTTGTATTCACTCTGTTCGCGGTACTTTGTACGTGATGATTTTTACTCACTCTGTTCGCGGTACTTGGTACGTGGTGATTTGTACTCGCTCTGTTCGCGGTACTTGGTACGTGGTGATTTGTACTCACTTTGTTCGCGGTACTTTTAACGTGGTGATTTGTAATCAACCTGTTTGATGTACTTGGTACGTGGTGATTTGTTTTCAGTTTGTCGCCCGTATTTAGTATGTAATGATTGGTTCTCGCTTTGTCGGCTGATATTTGTACTTGGTGATTTGTCCTCACTTTGGCGGCTGTACTTGGTACGTGGTGATTTGTACTCACTCTTTTCACTGTACTTGGTACGTGGTGATTTTTACTCACTCTGTTCGCTGTACTTGGTACATGGTGATTTGTACTCACTCTGTTCGCTGTACTTGATACGTGATGAGTTGTATTCACTCTGTTCGCGGTACTTTGTACGTGATGATTTTTACTCACTCTGTTCGCGGTACTTGGTACGTGGTTATTTGTACTCACTCTGTTAGCTGTAATTGGTACGTGGTGATTTGTACTCACTTTGTTCGCGGTACTTTTAACGTGGTGATTTGTAATCAACCTGTTCGATGTACTTGGTACGTGGTGATTTGATTTCAGTTTGTCGCCCGTATTTAGTATGTAATGATTGGTTCTCGCTTTGTCGGCTGATATTTGTACTTGGTGATTTGTCCTCACTTTGGCGGCTGTACTTGGTCCGTGGTGATTTGTACTCACTCTTTTCACTGTACTTGGTACGTGGTGATTTTTACTCACTCTGTTCGCGGTACTTGGTACGTGGTGATTTGTACTCACTTTGTTCGCTGTACTTGATACGTGGTGATTTGAACTCACCCTGTTCGCTGTACTTGGTACGTTGTGATTTGTTTTCACTCTGTTCGCTGTCCTTGGTACGTGGTGATTTTTACTCACTCTGTTCGTAGTACTTTGTACGTGGTGATTTTTACTGACTTTGTTCGCTGTACTTGGTACTTGGTGATTTGTACTCACTTTGTCCGCTGTACTTGGTACGTGATGAGTTGTACTCACTCTGTTCGCGGTACTTGGTACGTGGTGATTTGTACTCACTCTGTTCGCGGTACTTGGTACGTGGTGATTTGAACTCACCCTGTTCGCTGTACTTGGTACGTTGTGATTTGTACTCACTTTGTTCGCTGTACTTGATACGTGGTGATTTGAACTCACCCTGTTCGCTGTACTTGGTACGTGGTGATTTGTAATCAACCTGTTCGCTGTACTTGGTACGTGGTGATTTGTCCTCACTTTGGCGGCTGTACTTGGTATGTGGTGATTTGTACTCACTCTTTTCGCTGTACTTGGTACGTGGTGATTTTTACTCACTCTGTTCGCTGTACTTGGTACATGGTGATTTGTACTCACTCTNTCTTGGTATGTGGTGATTTGTACTCACTCCTTTCGCTGTACTTGGTACGTGGTGATTTTTACTCACTCTGTTCGCTGTACTTGGTACATGGTGATTTGTACTCACTCTGTTCGTTGTACTTGATTCGTGATGAGTTGTATTCACTCTGTTCGCTGTACTTGGTACGTTGTGATTTGTTTTCGCTCTGTTCGCTGTCCTTGGTACGTTGAGATTTGTTTTCACTCTGTTCGCTGTACTTGGTACGTTGTGATTTGTTTTCACTCTGTTCGCTGTACTTGGTACGTGATGAGTTGTACTCACTCTGTTCGCGGTACTTTGTACGTGCTGATTTTTACTTTCTTTGTTCGCTGTACTTGGTACGTGGTGATTTGTCCTCACTTTGGCGGCTGTTCTTGGTATGTGGTGATTTGTACTCACTCCTTTCGCTGTACTTGGTACGTGGTGATTTTTACTGACTTTGTTCGCTGTACTTGGTACGTGGTGATCTGTACTCACTTTGTCCGCTGTACTTGGTACGCGATGAGTTGTACTCACTCTGTTCGCGATACTTTGTACGTGATGATTTTTACTCACTCTGTTCGCGGTACTTGGTACGTGGTTTCACTCTGTTCGCTGTACTTGTTACGTGGTGATTTGTACTCACTTTGTCCGCTGTACTTGGTACGCGATGAGTTGTACTCACTCTGTTCGCGATACTTTGTACGTGATGATTTTTACTCACTCTGTTCGCGGTACTTTGTACGTGCTGATTTTTACTTTCTTTGTTCGCTGTACTTGGTACGTGGTGATTTGTAATCAACCTGTTCGCTGTACTTGGTACGTGGTGATTTGTCCTCACTTTGGCGGCTGTACTTGGTACGTGGTGATTTGTACTCACTCTTTTCACTGTACTTGGTACGTGGTGATTTTTACTCACTCTGTTCGCTGTACTTGGTACATGGTGATTTGTACTCACTCTGTTCGCTGTACTTGGTTTTACTGACTTTGTTCGCTGTACTTGGTACGTGGTGATCTGTACTCACTTTGTCCGCTGTACTTGGTACGCGATGAGTTGTACTCACTCTGTTCGCGATACTTTGTACGTGATGATTTTTACTCACTCTGTTCGCGGTACTTTGTACGTGATGATTTTTACTGACTTTGTTCGCTGTACTTGGGACTTGGTGATTTTTACTCACTTTGTCCGCTGTACTTGGTACGCGATGAGTTGTACTCACTCTGTTCGCGATACTTTGTACGTGATGATTTTTACTCACTCTGTTCGCGGTACTTGGTACGTGGTGATTTGAACTCACCCTGTTCGCTGTACTTGGTACGTTGTGATTTGTACTCACTTTGTTCGCTGTACTTAGCACGTTGTGATTTTTACTCTCTCTGTTCGCGGTACTTGGTACGTGGTGATTTGAACTCACCCTGTTCGCTGTACTTGGTACGTTGTGATTTGTACCCACTTTGTTCGCTGTACTTGATACGTGGTGATTTGAACTCTCCCTGTTCACTGTACTTGGTACGTGGTGATTTGTAATCAACCTGTTCGCTGTACTTGGTACGTGGTGATTTGTACTCACTTTGTCCGCTGTACTTGGTACGTGATGAGTTGTACTCACTCTGTTCGCGGTACTTGGTACGTGGTGATTTGAACTCACCCTGTTCGCTGTACTTGGTACGTGGTGATTTGTAATCAACCTGTTCGCTGTACTTGGTACGTGGTGATTTGTCCTCACTTTGGCGGCTGTTCTTGGTATGTGGTGATTTGTACTCACTCCTTTCGCTGTACTTGGTACGTGGTGATTTTTACTCACTCTGTTCGCTGTACTTGGTACATGGTGATTTGTACTCACTCTGTTCGCTGTACTTGGTTTTACTGACTTTGTTCGCTGTACTTGGTACTTGGTGATTTGTACTCACTTTGTCCGCTGTACTTGGTACGCGATGAGTTGTACTCACTCTGTTCGCGATACTTTGTACGTGATGATTTTTACTCACTCTGTTCGCGGTACTTGGTATGTGGTGATTTTTACTCACTCTGTTCGCTGTACTTGGTACGTGGTGATTTTTACTGACTTTGTTCGCTGTACTTGGTACTTGGTGATTTTTACTCACTTTGTCCGCTGTACTTGGTACGTGATGAGTTGTACTCACTCTGTTCGCGATACTTTGTACGTGATGATTTTTACTCACTCTGTTCGCGGTACTTGGTACGTGGTTATTCGTACTCGCTCTGTTCGCGGTACTTGGTACGTGGTGATTTGTACTCACTTTGTTCGCTGTACTTAGCACGTTGTGATTTTTACTCACTCTGTTCGCGGTACTTGGTACGTGGTGATTTGTACTCGCTCTGTTCGCGGTACTTGGTACGTGGTGATTTGTCCTCTCTTTGTTCGCTGTATTTTGTACGTGGTGATTTGTCCTCTCTTTGTTCGCTGTATTTTGTATTTGGTGATTTGTCCTCTCTTTGTTCGCTGTACTTGGTACGTGGCGATTTTTACTCACTCGGTTCGCTGTACTTGGTACGTGGTGCTTTGTACTCACTCTGTTGACGATACTTGGTACGTGATGATTTTTACTCACTCTGTTCGCTGCACTTGGTACGTGGTGATTTTTACTCACTTCGTTCGCTGTACTTGGTACGTAGTGATTTTTAATTACTCTGTTCGCTGTACTTGATACGTGTTGATTTGTACTCACTTTGTTCGCTGTACTTGGTACGTGGTGATTTTTAATCACTCTGTTGGTGGTACTTGATGCGGGGTGATTTTTACTCACTCTTTTCGCTGTACTTGGTATGTGTTGATTTGTACTCACTCTGTTCGCTGTCCTTGGTACATTGTGATTTGTTTTCATTCTGTTCGCTGTACTTGATACGGGGTGATTTTTACTCACTCTATTCGCTGTACTTGGTATGTGTTGATTTGTACTCACTCTGTTCGCTGTCCTTGGTACATTGTGATTTGTTTTCATTCTGTTCGCTGTACTTGGTACGTGGTGATTTGTTTTCAGTTTGTCGCCTGTATTTAGTATGTAATGATTGATTCTCGCTTTGTCGGCTGATTCTTTTGCGTTGCGGGTTGTTTTCACTTTGTCGATTGTGCTTTGTACTTGGTGATTTGTCCTCTCTTTGGCGGCTGTACTTGGTATGTAATGATTTGTACTCACTCTGTTCGCTGTACTTGGTACGTGGTGATTTGTACTCATTTTGTTCGCTGTATTTGGTACGTGGTGATTAGTATTCACTCTGTTCGCTGTACTTTGTACGTAGTGATTTTTACTGACTTTGTTCGCTGTACTTGGTACGTGGTGATTTGTACTCACTTTGTCCGCTGTACTTGGTACGTGATGAGTTGTACTCACTCTGTTCCCGGTACTTGGCACGTGTTGATTTTTACTCACTATGTTCGCGGTACTTTTTACGCGGTGATTTTTTCTCACTCTGTTCGCGGTACTTGGTACGTGGTGATTTTTATTCACCCTGTTCGCGGTACTTGGTACGTGGTGATTTGTACTCACTCTGTTCGCGGTACTTGGTACGTGGTGATTTGTACTCACTCTTTTCGCGGTACTTGATACGTGGTGATTTTTATTCACTTTGTTCTCGGTACTTGGTACGTGGTGATTTTTATTCACCCTGTTCGCGGTACTTGGTACGTGGTGATTTGTACTCACTCTTTTCGCGGTACTTGGTACGTGGTGATTTTTATTCACTTTGTTCGCGGTACTTGGTACGTGGTGATTTTTTCTCACTCTGTTCGCTGTACTTGGTACGTGGTGATTTGTACTCACTCTGTTCGCGGTACTTGGTACGTGGTGATTTTTACTCACTGTTTTCGCTGTATTTTGTACGTGGTGATTTGTCCTCTCTTTGTTCGCTGTACTTGGTACGTGGTGATTTTTACTCACCCGGTTCGCTGTAATTTGTATGTGGTGATTTTTACTCACTTCGTTCGCTGTACTTGATACGTGTTGATTTGTACTCACTCTGTTCGCTGTACTTGGTACGTGGTGATTTGTACTCACTCTTTTCGCGGTACTTGGTTCCTGGTGATTTGTACTCACTCTGTTCGCTGTACTTGGTACGTGGTGATTTTTACTCACTCTGTTCGCGGTAGTTGGTATGTGGTGATTTGTACTCACTCTGTTCGCTGTACTTGGTACGTGGTGATTTTTACTCACTCTGTTCGCGGTAGTTGGTATGTGGTGATTTGTACTCACTCTGTTCGCTGTACTTGGTACGTGGTGATTTTTACTCACTCTGTTCGCGGTACTTGGTACGTGGTGATTTGTACTCACTCTGTTCGCTGTACTTGGTACGTGGTGATTTGTACTCACTCTGTTCGCTGTACTTGGTACGTGGTGATTTTTACTCACTCTGTTCGCGGTACTTGGTACGTGGTGATTTGTACTCACTCTGTTCGCTGTACTTGGTACGTGGTGATTTTTACTCACTCTGTTCGCTGTACTTGGTACGTGGTGATTTTTACTCACTCTGTTCGCGGTACTTGGTATGTGGTGATTTGTACTCACTCTGTTCGCTGTACTTGGTACGTGGTGATTTTTACTCACTCTGTTCGCGGTACTTGGTACGTGGTGATTTGTACTCACTCTGTTCGCTGTACTTGGTACGTGGTGATTTTTACTCACTCTGTTCGCGGTACTTGGTACGTGGTGATTTGTACTCACTCTGTTCGCTGTACTTGGTACGTGGTGATTTTTACTCACTCTGTTCGCGGTTTTTGGTACGTGGTGATTTTTACTCGCTCTGTTCGCTGTACTTGGTGCGTGGTGATTTTTACTCAATCTGTTCGCGGTAGTTGGTATGTGGAGATTTTTACTCGCTCTGTTCGCGCTACTTGGTACGTGGTGATTTTTAATCACTCTGTTCGCGGTACTTGGTACGTGGTGATTTTTACCCACTATATTCGCGGTACTTGGTCCGAGGTGATTTTTACTCACTCTGTTCGCTGTACTTGGCACGTGGTGATTTGTACTCACTCTATTCGCTGTACTTGGTACGTGGTGATTTTTACTCACTCTGTTCGCTGTACTAAGTACGTGGTGATTTTTACTCACTTTGTTCGCGGTACTTGGTACGTGGTGATTTTTACTCACTCTGTTCGCGTTACTTGGTACGTGGTGATTTGTACTCACTCTGTTCGCTGTACTTAATACGTGGTGATTTTTACTCATTCTGTTCGCTTTACTTGGTACGTGGTGATTTGTACTCACTCTGTTAGCTGTACTTGGTACGTGGTGATTTGTACTCACTCTGTTCGCTGTACTTGGTACGTGGTGATTTGTACTCACTCTGTTCGCGGTTTTTGGTACGTGGTGATTTTTACTCGCTCTGTTCGCTGTACTTGGTGCGTGGTGATTTTTACTCAATCTGTTCGCGGTAGTTGGTATGTGGAGATTTTTACTCGCTCTGTTCGCGCTACTTGGTACGTGGTGATTTTTAATCACTCTGTTCGCGGTACTTGGTACGTGGTGATTTTTACCCACTATATTCGCGGTACTTGGTCCGAGGTGATTTTTACTCACTCTGTTCGCTGTACTTGGCACGTGGTGATTTGTACTCACTCTATTCGCTGTACTTGGTACGTGGTGATTTTTACTCACTCTGTTCGCGGTACTTGATAAGTTGTGATTTGTACTCACTTTGTTCGCTGTACTTGGTGCGTGGTGATTTTTTCTCAATCTGTTCGCGGTAGTTGGTATGTGGAGATTTTTACTTACTCTGTTCGCGCTACTTGGTACGTGGTGATTTTTAATCACTCTGTTCGCGGTACTTGATACGTGGTGATTTTTACTCACTCTGTTCGCGGTACTTGATAAGTTGTGATTTGTACTCACTTTGTTCGCTGTACTTGGTGCGTGGTGATTTTTACTCAATCTGTTCGCGGTAGTTGGTATGTGGAGATTTTTACTTACTCTGTTCGCGCTACTTGGTACGTGGTGATTTTTAATCACTCTGTTCGCGGTACTTGATACGTGGTGATTTTTACTCACTCTGTTCGCGGTACTTGATAAGTTGTGATTTGTACTCACTTTGTTCGCTGTACTTGGTGCGTGGTGATTTTTACTCAATCTGTTCGCGGTAGTTGGTATGTGGAGATTTTTACTTACTCTGTTCGCGCTACTTGGTACGTGGTGATTTTTAATCACTCTGTTCGCGGTACTTGTTACGTGGTGATTTTTACTCACTCTGTTCGCGGTACTTGATACGTTGTGATTTGTACTCACTTTGTTCGCTGTACTTGGTACGTGGTGATGTGTATTCTCTCTGTTCGCTTTACTTGGTACGTGGTGATTTGTGCTCACTCTGTTAGCTGTACTTAATACGTGGTGATTTGTTCTCAGTTTGTCGCCTGCATTTGGTATGGAATGATTTATTTTCGCTTTGTCGGCTGAATTTTGTGCGTTGTGCATTGTTTTTATTTTGTCGACTGTGCTTTGTACGTGATGATTTGCCCTCCCTTTGGCGGCTCTTCTTGGTACATGATAATGTGTTCTCACTCTGTTAACTGTACTTAGTAGGTTGTGATTTGTTATCATTTTGTTGGCTGTTCCCTGGTGGTTTGATTTTAAGTTGTTGACTGCTATTTGTACATGGAGGTTGGATATTTCTTTGTCAACCAAATTTGTCTTCGCTTTGTCCATCGTACTCGATACGTTGGGACTTTCCAAAGCTGTATCCACCATGCTTGGTACGTTAGTAACTGGCCTCGTTGTAATTGAAGGTGTGCTTATTACATTAGTCGAGGTTGAAGTATTTGACATCATGGTCGTATTTGTCTTGGTTACTATGATAGGCGTGGTTATTGCAGCTGAAGTGGCTGTGGCTACATGTGGTGTGGACGTACGGAACGTGTTTGTAATGTTGGATGAAATTGTAATAGTTGGCGTGATTGCATCAGTCAGTATATTTGAAGCAGACATAGTTGCTGGCTGTCCGGTCGTTGATTTAACTACATCATCAAAAGTGTCTTGAAAAACAGCACTTGTTGTATTTTTCAAGTCATCCGCTTTTTCCGCTGTACTTTCTAGCTCTGTTGTTAGTACACCAGGTAGAAGTATAGAATGAGAGATACTTGGAATAGGCGTATGCGTGGTTGTAATAAACGGCGAGGACGTGATGGTGTCCGTTGATGAATGAGTCAATAGGGGTGAATCAGTGCCAATGGTTGTTGTCTTGGGTGTGAACGTAGTGCTAGACATGGTCGTATTAGTTGCAGTGGTTTTTGTGTTGACAGTAGGGTTGATGTTCGATATGTTCGCTTTATTTGACTTGGTTGTGGTTAAAGCCTCATGTGGCGCTGCAATAGTGAAGATGGTTGCATTAGAGGACTTTGTGTTAATAGTCGGTGTAATTGTTGATGAAAAGGTATGAATGAATGTTGTTGTAATTGTAGTGGGCGCGGTTGTTGTAGTGGGAGTTGTGGTAGAGGGATTGGTTGTTGCAGTGGGAGTTGTGGTAGAGGGATTGGTTGTTGTAGTGGGAGTTGTGGTAGAGGGATTGATTGTTGTAGTGGGAGTTGTGGTAGATGGATTGGTTGTTGTAGCTGGAGTTGAGGTAGTGGGCGTGGTTGTTGAAGTAGGAAATGTTGTAGCAGTGGGATTGGTTGCCATAGTAGATGTATTCGTAGTATTGAGCTTGATAGTATCTGTAGTTTTTATTGTGGTTGGCATGGAAGATGGTTGCATGGTAGCTGTGTTTACATTATCAGTTGTATTTTCTAAAACAGCAGTTGTAGTATTATTCATATCATTATCATTCCTTTCTAAATCGTTTATTGTTGTCAATAGATCAAATAGGAATTTAGAATGAGAGACATTTCGAATATATTTAGCCGTGTTTAAGGTTGTTATAATTGGCGTGGTTGTGATAGTGGACGTGGTTGGATTAAGCTGTGTTGTGGTTGTTGTTTTATGCGTGCTTGTTTGGGACGTAGATGTTGTAGAGGAATTTGTAGTAGCGGGATTGGTTGTTGTAGTTGGAGTTGTGGTAGAAGGATTGGTTGTTGCAGTGGGAGTTGTGGTAGAGGGATTGGTTGTTGTAGTGGGTGTTGTGGTAGAGGGATTGGTTGTTGTAGTGGGAGTTGCGGTAGAGGAATTGGTTGTTGTAGTGGGAGTTGAAGTAGGTGGATTGCCTGTTGTGGTGGGAGTTGTAGCAGTTGGATCGAATGTTATAAAGGGAGATATAGTTGTTGCATTGATTGTTGTTGTGGGAGGTGTACTACTGGGTTCAGTTTCTGTATTGATAGTTGTTGAAGAGGGATTGGTTGTTGAATTTGGAGTTGTATATGTGGAATTTGTTGTTGAAGTGGAAGTTTTAAGTATGGGATCGGTGGTTATACTGGGAGTTGTAGTATCAGGATCGGTTGTTGCATTGACAGCTGTAGCAATGGGATCGTTTATGATAGTGGTATGATTGGTTGTTGAATCGGGAGTTGCATTAATAGGATTACTAGTTGTAGTCGGAGTTGTATTAGCGGGATTTGATGTTGAAGTTTGAGTTAGAGTAGTGGGGTTGCTTGTTGTAAGGGGTGAGGTAGTATTGAGATTTGATATTGCGCTGGAAGTTGTGTAAGTGGGATAAGTTGTTGAAGTTGGAGTTGCTGTTGTTAGATTGTTTATTTTATTGGGAGTTGTAGCATCGGGATCGGTTGTTGTTGTGGGAGTTGCAGTACCGAAATCAGTTGCCGTATTAGTAGTAATAATAGTGGGATTTGTTGTGGATGTATTGCTTGTTGTAAGGTTAGTTGTACTTGTGGTATTGGCTGTTTTTGTGAGAGGCTTGATTGTTGTATCGACAGTTATAGTCATGGGGTTGGTAATTGTAGTGGTAGTTGTAGTTATGGGGTTGGTTTTTGTAGTGGAAGTTGTAGTTATGGGGTTGGATATTGTAGCGGAAGTTGTATTAGTGGGATTGGTTTTATTTTTTGTCGTAGTTGTTGTAGTAGTTGTAGGGGGAGTTGTAGTAATTGGCGTTGTTGTAGTAGTTGGAGTGGTTGTTGTAGTGCGCGTGGTTGTTGTGTTTTGAGCGGTTGAATTTGGATAGGGTTTAGCTACAAGTGTCGTTTTAGAGTCTGACATGGTTGTAGTAGGTGTAGTCTCAGTGTCTGACATGGTTGTAGTAGGTGTGGTTGCAGTGTTTGACATGGTTGTAGTAGGTGTAATCTCAGAGTCTGACATGGTTGTAGTAGGTGTAGTCTCAGTGTCTGACATGGTTGTAGTAGGTGTAGTCTCAGTGTCTAACATGGTTGTTGTAGGTGTAGTCTCAGTGTCTGACATGGTTTTAGTAGGTGTAGTCTCAGTGTCTGACATGGTTGTAGTAGGTGTAGTCTCAGTGTCTGACATGGTTGTAGTAGGTGTAGTCTCAGTGTCTGACATGGTTGTAGTAGGTGTAGTCTCAGTGTCTGACATGGTTGTAGTAGGTGTAGTCTCAGTGTCTGACATGGTTGTAGTAGGTGTAGTCTCAGTGTCTGACATGGTTGTAGTAGGTGTAGTCTCAGTGTCTGACATGGTTGTAGTAGGTGTAGTCTCAGTGTCTGACATGGTTGTAGTAGGTGTAGTCTCAGTGTCTGACATGGTTGTAGTAGGTGTAGTCTCAGTGTCTGACATGGTTGTAGTAGGTGTAGTCTCAGTGTCTGACATGGTTGTAGTAGGTGTAGTCTCAGTGTCTGACATGGTTGTAGTAGGTGTAGTCTCAGTGTCTGACATGGTTGTAGTAGGTGTAGTCTCAGTGTCTGACATGGTTGTAGTAGGTGTAGTCTCAGTGTCTGACATGGTTGTAGTAGGTGTAGTCTCAGTGTCTGACATGGTTGTAGTAGGTGTAGTCTCAGTGTCTGACATGGTTGTAGTAGGTGTAGTCTCAGTGTCTGACATGGTTGTAGTAGGTGTAGTCTCAGTGTCTGACATGGTTGTAGTAGGTGTAGTCTCAGTGTCTGACATGGTTGTAGTAGGTGTAGTCTCAGTGTCTGACATGGTTGTAGTAGGTGTAGTCTCAGTGTCTGACATGGTTGTAGTAGGTGTAGTCTCAGTGTCTGACATGGTTGTAGTAGGTGTAGTCTCAGTGTCTGACATGGTTGTAGTAGGTGTAGTCTCAGTGTCTGACATGGTTGTAGTAGGTGTAGTCTCAGTGTCTGACATGGTTGTAGTAGGTGTAGTCTCAGTGTCTGACATGGTTGTAGTAGGTGTAGTCTCAGTGTCTGACATGGTTGTAGTAGGTGTAGTTTCAGTGTCTGACATGGTTGTAGTATGTGTAGTCTCAGTGTCTGACATGGTTGTAGTATGTGTAGTCTCAGAGTCTGCCATGGTTGTAGTAGGTGCAGTCTCAGTGTCTGACATAGTTGTAGTATGTGTAGTCTCAGTGTCTGACATGGTTATAGTAGGCGTAGTCTCAGTGTCTGACATGGTTTTAGTAGGTGTAGTCGCAGAGTCTGACCTGGTTGTAGTAGGTGTAGTCTCAGTGTCTGACATGGCTGTAGTAGGTGTAGTCTCAGTGTCTGACATGGTTGTAGTAGGTGTAGTTTCAGTGTCTGACATGGTTGTAGTAGGTGTAGTTTCAGTGACTGACATGGCTGTAGTGGGTGTAGTCTCAGTGTCTGACATGGTTGTAGTAGGTGTTGTCTCAGTGTCTGACATGGTTTTAGTAGGTATGGTTGCAGTGTTTGACATGGTTGGAGTTAGTGGCGTTGCAGTTATGGACATGGTTGCAGTAACAGGCGTTGTTTTTGACGATGTCGAAATTGAAGAAATTGATGTTGTTGTAGAATTGGGCATGGTAATCGTTGTGGGAAATGTTGTAGTGTTGAACTTGATGTCAAAAGAGGNTGGATGTCGAAATTGAAGAAATGAATATGGTTGTAGAATTGGGCATGGTTATCGTTGTGGGAAATGTTGTAGTGTTGAACTTGATGTCAAAAGAGGATGTACTGGTATTAGAGGGGTTGGTACTATCCGTTGAAATGATTGTGACAGGTGTAGTGGCTGGTTGTACTGTTGTTGTTTTCACTACATTAGTTTTATTGTGTAAAATGGCGGTTGTTGTGTTATCTACCTCAATCTCTCTACTGTCTACCTCAGGAAGGGGCTTGGAATAAGAGGCATTAGGAGTAGTCGTTGTCATTGTTGCAATACTTGGAATAGTTGACGCGTTCGTTGTACCGGATGTGGTTGTAAAAGTGGGGTTGGTTGTCGGATAAAGCGCAGTTGAAACATTTGAAATTGTTGTTAAGACAGACGTTGTAATAGGAGTGGGAGTGGTAGTAGCTACTGGTGTCGTTGCAGTATTTGACGTGATTGTATCAGTGGGAGTGGTTTTAGAACTGGGACTGGCTGCATTATTGGATATACTTGTAGTAGTGGGTTTGATTGTATCTGTGGATTTCAATGTGGTGGGCATTGTAATAGATTGCATGATCGTGATTTGATTTTTATCAGTTGCATTTTGCAAATCAACAGTTTTGTTCATACCCAAGGAGGCCGTTCTATTCACTAGCTCAGTAGAATTTGTCGATCGATCAGACAGGGTGTTGGACTGAGAGACATTTGTTGAAGAGTTGTTATGGTCAGTGTTTGCGGGAATCGTATGACTGGAGGAAGCGACCATCTCTCTCTGGTCACCCCGGTTTGTTTTCTGATCTGAAACACAAAGGGAAAGATTAAAACCTCAGTCTGTAACAATACGAAACCGGTAAAATTACTGAACTGGAAACATCTTTTTATTTGTTACATAAGTAAATAGTGACGTTCTTTGTAAACGTTATTTCAGTCTGTGATAATGCATACTAATATGAAACCAGTTTCACTATCTACAATTAAACGTTAACATTTTGCTTTAATATTCTTGTTTACAAATACTAACGATCATCAGTTAATGTGTATACTTTTATAGATATGTATCACCTAAATTTACCTTTATATGTATTTACAGAACTTGCGGATGTTTGTGGTTGTGGATTCCTCTTGACTTCACGTAGTCGTCTGCATGTTCTGACTCCTTGTATGATACGACAGATACGTCTACCTTGCTGTTTTATGTCTGACTCACTCTGACTTGTATTTCTGACCGATTTGTCTGGTATCGTGGACGTTACACCCGATGAATCTTTGCTCCTATCCTGTCTTGGTCCCAATGTTACTGGTTTGTCTGTATCTCTATTTTTCTTTTGTTCAGCAACATGATTCTGTTGTTCCTTTGCCACTGAAACAGACGGTTGCCTTACAATTTTGTCATCTTTTGTCTTTTCGTCTTGTTTGTCCACAATATCTCCTTGTTTTGATATCACATCCTGTTGTTTGTGTACCACTACCTCTTGTATGTTAACGACTTGTTCTTGTTTGTTTACCACTTTTTCTTGCTTGTTTACCACATCCTCTTGTTTGTTTACCACTGCTTCTTGTTTGTTTACCACTTCTTGTTTGTTTACCACTTTTTCTTGCTTGTTTACCACAGCCTCTTGTTTGTTTACCACAGCCTCTTGTTTGTTTACCACTGCTTCTTGTTTGTTTACCACAGCCTCTTGTTTGTTTACCGCAGCCTCTTGTTTGTTTACCACAGCCTCTTGTTTGTTTACCACTGCTTCTTGTTTGTTTACCACAGCCTCTTGTTTGTTTACCACTGCCTTTTGCTTGTTTTCGCCAGCGTCATTATTGCCAGTTTTTTCCTTTTGTTTTACATGTAAATTTGCTATATTAACCTGATTGTTAACAACTGAATGATGTGCACTGGTCATGAGATTGCTTTCGCTGCCAACTTGCTGTGATTTTTCTACATTTGAGTGTCTTTCGTTAGCGTTATCGACGGATGTATTATCTGCCGCGCCTTGGTTGTTCTGTCTCATCCTCAGAGCTCTATCTCCTTTATCTACGTTACGTGGGATAGTTTTTGTGTAGACCTCTTTGTCTTCTCCATCAGGTTTAGGCACATCTTTCTGGTTTGCCGTCTGATTGGGAGAGACATGGTTTCCTGTCCCCGCTCGATCGTTACCAAGAACGTTGTTATGCGCTACCTTTTCCATTGATTTTAACACTCGATGTGATATGTCGCCCTCGTTCAAATGTTTCTTCAAATACTCATTGACCAGTTCTGACACATGAGGATACGACTTAACTGCGTTGTTCCATGTCTGTACATGTTGTTCCATTATTTCCCCACCTTCATTTGCTCCGTCTTTGGCGGCTTTCACTCTTAAAGATGGCCTCATCTACAGACAAAAGACATTACTGTATCAAAATGCATTTTAACCTTATTATTTGAAGACATTAATATAACATGTTATGTTCAATGTTCTGAAAGGTCTCCCTGACATAGCAGTCAAAATTTAAAATACACGTTTACTCCAAGGACGTTCTCATCGACACGTGTGTGTTGTGAAATGGGAGGAATATCTCTACATGAGGAATGATGCTGGGGTTAGTCTGATCAACTTGTATATATCACGGACCATTGACACACCATCGAATATCATAAGTAAGATAAATATGTATACCTTTCGAAATCTGGTCGGCACACGGAATATGGTCATATCAATAATAATGGTTTGAAGTATGGATGGTAATTTAACTGCTTTGAGAAATTATGCTTTTTATTATAATATTTTTGAATGTGTTGCCTTATTCAGTTTTAACTATTCAAATGTAGCCTCTTTGCGTATTATTGGGTTCGATAAAAAGGGTCATTTCGTAGAGAGTAACAAAAATGAAATCTAAAAAACATTAATCTCTTAATAAATGTTTCTTTGTGACATACATGAATACAGTTCACATTGTACGCATAAGTAACATGTACTCACGACCTCCCAGTAACACCTACACCAATTTTACCTTTACTATGATAATGTACAAGAACGCTGTACCTGTAAGATTTGGGAGATAACTTAACGTCAGTTTACTGCTACCACGAACAATCCTCTAGTGCATTTGATTTTGTTAAAACCTACAGTTTACGTTATTTTCACCTATTCTTAAAATAATAAAAAAAAGTTTATGGTATTTCTCCAGTAAAGTAATTAACACTATTTTTGATGGATCTCTACAAAGGTTAAATGGTAAATTCGGTATATTATGTGTTTCTATTTTTAGTTTTATACAGGGTTAAGGTTTCAAAACTAGTTTTTTTTAACAATTAAGTAAAATAACTAGACCATAAAGTTTTGATACATGCTTTTTATCTAATTATTTAATTATTTACTTACGGTTATCTATATTGTGTGTTGAGTACACGTTAAAGTTGTGTACTACCTTAGAGGAGCCTCAATATATATATATAACTTAACAGGCTATCTTTACGGAGGAAACACATATGGAAACCAAGCCTTCGCCGGCTTTGGTTGGAAACTATAGCTTGTCTATAACCGCCACTGACAGGTAAGTGCATACTTATAAAATTAAAGCATAGAGAATAAACGATTTAAGATAGGTTCTTATTTTGCGAATATTTGTGTTTTACAACGTTTTCTCATAGTATAAATGTTAATTTTAATGGCTTAAACATTGAGATAGGCACCATGCTAACACAAATTCTCAAACTAACACCAAAGACAGGTATAAGAACTTGTGATTGTGCAGTGCTGGTCCGTGTATATAAAAGGTAATTATTGACAATGGAGACATTCATTTACATTTGTCTCAACTAACGGCACTAGCTGGATGCATAAATATAAAAGACATCGTAATTTACTTTTATTTAACAAAAAATATCGGAAAACGTATATAGATAAAAAAAAGAGTAAACTTTCACTTAAAACCATAACCATTGTTTGCGACGTCATTTTCACAGCAATAATGATATTTTCCTTTAATTTGAAAGCAGATGAAACTACTATTATGCCCTAGATATTTGACATTATGAATACATACGGTAAGCTTAATTTTACCTTGTACGCATTACACGGGTAAATGAGAATGTCCTAAATCCTATTTCATTATTATGATTACGTTGTGATAATAGTTTTTACCCATTCATATCGAAACGATGTTAACTACACATTATATCTTAGCTCATATGGTACCGATATATTTAAAGTCGACATTGACCAATGCATAAACGGTACGATTCCTTATATCAAAACGTATGCACATGATTGTTTTGTTCAGTTAAAATTTTGTTTGATCTCATGGCTCCAATTATGATCGATATCGAACTTTGTATTATGCCCATTGTTTTATAAAATGCTTCCTTCCTACTGAAATAATGGTAAATAGCTAGAAAAAAAAAATGATTCTAAAAGTTCGAAAGAAGGCTTTCTTTAAGAAAACGGCGTAACAGAATGTATTCTTAGGTTAATAGCGTTGCAGAATTATCTCTACCTTTTTATGGAACGACAGGACGGTCTACAGTCACTTGTTTAACAAATTTGTCTCTACAAGTCAATGGCGTGACGGAATGATCTAAATGTTGATGATGAGACCGAATGGATACTAAAACTAAATGATGTAACATAAATGTCTTTATAAGCTGACAGATGGAATGATAAAAAAAGTTAATTATCTGAACAGATGCTCCTAATTTCACAAGTCAATGGTGTGGTTGAATAATTCTCAATTTTCTCTACGAAACACGACTGAATAAGTGTATCTACAAACTGACAAACTAACATTCTGCCCCTAAACATTTATTGCGCATCAAAGTGATTTTTTCATTTCAAAATATTTTTTATTAAATCAAATGATTCAATGGGAGTTGGGCAACATGCTATGCCTATACA